CTCTTTGGTCTGGCTGAAAGCAGTCAACACTAGCCCTGGCTTTGCCAGTGGTCACTGCCGCCTAAGACAATAACCGAGAGTTCGGTGACATCTGCCTTTTACCTTCAAACTGGGGACTTGGCCTGATGATTTTAGTGATCCGAGTGCACCCACTGCTTAGACTGCTACACATCACCGTGCATGAGTCATTCACTAGATGCCTAGCAGGCTGACTGAAGAAACCAGTGACGTTTACATTTAATGCAAACAAGATTCCTCTTGGATACGCAACTTGTAAGATTAGAATTGGTGAATTCCACAGACCATAGGAAATTGGTTGATTAACTAGACCGAAGTCTGATTTGTCTCGCTTTTCCCGCTCAGGGCCACTTAGGTCAGGGTATTTGTGCGTGAACTTTAAACAAGCCCAACATTTCCCGACATGGATTCGAACCCCACTGAGACCGCCGAGTATTTCCTCGCTGACTGCGATCACTTTTTGCGTTTGGGCCTGGGAATCATGGTTCTCAGGCCCCCAGTCCATCAACAAAAGCAACGATTTGGCGTCCCTATACTGTCCACTGAGACATTTCCTGAGCAACAGAATCAGTCACGTGGAAGGACTGGGCGCAGCAACAACTCTGACGACAGCGAGCATAATTGTCCTGCAATTGTCAAGCCCGCATCCGATGCTGATAAGCAAACTGTGGCAATTAGTGAGTCTAACGCGAAGTGTCAAGCCAGTACCACATCAATTAAGACCCAATCGGTGGCTATAGAAGGGAACAATTATCACACACACGCGGATGACCACTATGAACTATAAATACAATGCAGCCTGTGCATGTCTCCACCCCGTCTGCGCATGACCATGACTATGCTCTCATCACCTATGATTAAGGATTCCCGAGGGAATCCGAAACGTCAGGACTACTTAGGCCGCTACACTCCTAAGACCCGGTTCGTTAGGACAAAAGAATGCATGGGAGGCAAGTGTGGAACAGGAACAGTTTAATCTTTACAGAAGGGATGGAGAATAGGCAGGAATAAGTAGACTGTCAGACCGCATGTCCATCCGCTAGGGCGGCTTTGTCCGAAGTTCCGGTGTCAGGGCAGTCAGCGCATTGGGTTTCTTGTGAGTTGGCCCTGAAGTCGAATGAGCAGACAGATTAGAGCCAC